GGGTCCTAGTTTCTTCTTCCACAAAATGTATAGAAGAATAATCAACTAAGGTTCCGGTTGTGAGAATTAAGGGACACACGTGTCAAGCTTCTGGAATACATTATCTTTCAAAAGATGTTAGCTCATTTCTTTCCCATTTTCTCTTCATATTTAATCTGAGTATTTCACCGAATCCCTAGAAGAGCAGTGAACATGGAGCAGCAGAAAAACAATATAGTCAACAGAAATCTTACAATATTTTTTTCTCACATTTTTTACAAACCAACTTTTAGTGCTCCAAGATAATTATATCAATAATCTCTATGGAAAACAATAACGTTCAGTAAACAGCCCTACCCTTTTTCCCTCAAAGAAAACAATATCAATGACAGACCACACGATATGCTTTAAAATGTGGCTGATAGAATACTACTTTTGAGGAGAAGTTAGGACTAGTTAACAGCTTAGCATGTTAGGTCCTTACTAGATTAAAAATGCATGCATTGACCTAATTATGTCTAACCCATTGAGTTAGGGCCTAGCAGGACCCAGTGAAGGTGAAAATGTTTTCCAGAAAAGGTGTCCTTAATTCATTAACATCTTAGCAAAAACTCTCCGATTATTCTCTATAGTTGTGAAACATTGTAACACATACAGATTTACTTTTGTCAGGAAAGAGAAGTCAAAAGCCAGGCAATTTGAATGTAGAACTCGGTTCCTGAAAAGGAGGGCATGAAAGGGAAGACCTCCCTACAGAAGACAGCAAGTGGAGTTAACAAGCAAGGTGGCCTACTCCAAAATGTCTCAGAGAACAAGTAGGAAACACATGCATGTGTGAGTTTCCATTCTAACAATTGTTGCTGGACCTCTAATAACTGAAGTTGTAAAGGAAAGAAAATACTGTTTAAAGGTTATATTATCTTGGCTGGGCATGCTGGCTCATGCCTCTAATCCTACCACTCTAGGAGGACAAAGGCAGGAGGATCACTTGAGCTCAGGAGTTCAAGACTAGCCTGAGCAAAAGCAAGACCCCTTCTCTGCTAAAAGTAGAAAAAGTAGCCAGGTGTTGTGGCAGGTGCCTATAGTTCCAGCTACTTGGGAAGCTGAGGCAGGAGGATCACTTTAGCCTGGGAGTTTGAGGTTGCTGTGAGTTAGACTGACTCTACAGCACTCTACCCTGGGCAACAGAGTGAGACTTTGTCTCAAAAAATTAGGAAAAAAAAAAGTTGTGTTATTTGATGACAAAGCAAAAACTGTACTCATGAGTCCTCAAACTGCAGAATGAGGACAGAACCGAGGAAGAGTGGGACTGTCAGCTTTGATCTGAGTCATAGAGCTACACTTTAGGAAGCCTACACAAACCCTTGGGCTAATGACTGTGAAGATGACTAAGTTCACGGTGCAGGAGAGCCACGTAATGTTGACTGCTCATTTAAAGTACGATGGCACATAATCAACACCATGCATGCTGAATTTCCAATACCAAGTGTTAGTTCTTCCCTCACTAAGGAACTGGGGGAAACCTCTTAGCCCGGTATGGCTAGGAGAAAATGTCTTTGTTCCAGTTATTTCTATTGAAGTTTGCCTTCTTTCCTTCACTGTTCTGATCCTTTTTTCAGGGTCATATCATTTTCATGTTTTTATTCCACCCCAGCCAGCACTGAAAAGGTTTTTTATACTTCTGTCACAGCACATGAAAAATTCTCAAGTCTCTGTTCACATGAAAGATTCTCAAGTCTCTATTCATTCACTTTCTTTAGGACTAAGGTATAATTAACAATAATTTTAAGTGCATCTGCTCCTTTTAATAGACACTGAAAAATGCATACTGCCAGTTATTTTAGAAACAAAAACAGCACTGTTTCCTGTGTGCCCCGTTCTGCAGCTTCCTCTGATCTCGGCACTCAGAGTCCCCGTAGCTATTTGGAGTTCGTGACCAGCAATGCGTCTACTGTGGCTTTTGCTTGGGTCAGAGGAGTAACTCCCTTTTTGTAACTTTCTGTTTGTAATGCTACTTCAAACTCTCCTAAACTTCCCCCCACATAGGGTAGCATACAAGAGTTCGTCATCTCACAGCCGCATGAAGATCTAGCTTTTTTAGCAATCATATTGCTACCCTTCTGATGAAGCAAGAATCTTTGGACATATTCACCAATCCTCACACATCTGAAGCAATGAGGCAGGATTTAGTAACTCCTCAGTTCAGGTGGAATTATGTTCTTTGCCATAGTGGGGAATGCTAGAAAAAATACATTTTGGTAAAATACTCTCTGTTTCTCAAACTACAGGTTATAATTCAGTCGTTAGTGAGTTCTGAGATCAAATCGGTGGTTTGTAATCAGGATTTTTCTTTTAACAGGGTGGAATGGAATATAAAGAAAATGAAGTAGCAAGAAAAGGAGAAAATTCACACGTAGGGGTAGGTGTGATCTCACAGCTTCATTATAAGGAGTAGCCAAGCCCTCTGCTTTTTCATTCAGCAAACGTATTTTAAGTAACTTCTCTGAATAGTGAAATTCTAAGCCCTGTACCCTTTCACATTTCATGCCTCCCTTCTTGGCTAGAAATACCCTTCCTATGAATGTTGTGGGTCTCAGAGTTGGGCAATTTCTGGTTGTACCTCATATCCAGATCCAAACTCAAGCTCAAGTCCAAGTCTACCTAAGGCCATTACATAGCTTGAATCATCGTTCCACTTCAGGGATGGCTCTTATTGAATAGAGAAAGGAAAGGCAAAGAAAGCACAGAGGAATTTAGTTGAAAGGAGATGACAACTACTTAAAATCTCACATTATGAAAATAATTCCCCACTTCTGTCGAACAATATCTCGAGTTTTCCCCCTTTAAAGCAGGATAAAATCTAAAGGATAAAAATCTAAAGGAAGCAAGATAAAAAGTAAACACAAATTACTTGAAGTGAGGCTGAGCATGTCACACAGAACAAACCGTGCAGCACATTCAGTGACAGAACTCCTGGGATCCCCGGAGGGGCCTGACTCTCAGACAGGGATAATTAACACCCACGGGCACCAGCGAGCTTAACCTCACGCCTGCTGCGTTGTAGACCTGCCCTAAAGGGCATGGGTTTCTTTCATTTGCTTAATAAAACTGATGCTCAGATCAGTCTCTCTCCGAGAATTGATAACCTCTGAAAATCTGGTCTTGTCATCTCTGTATTTAATACCCTCAGTGTCTCTCTAATTCTCCTAGAGAAAAAAATTGAAATTCTTTAACCTGACCTTCCAGGTCCTGTCTTTGACTTAGCTTTTTAGACTCCCTCTCCTATACTTTCCTCTGCCTTCGTGATTATTGGCCAGGAGTTCCCTTAGCAGCAGGTTTTTGCATATGTTCCTGTGTTACCTGAAAACACAGTTCCCTTCCAAGTCACCTGCTACCTCCTGCTCATCCCTCAGTTCTTACATCACTTCCTCTAACAGAGCTACACTGCCACCTGCATTTTCCTGCAGGTGTTGGTTACTGCTCTGTAATGCCCTATGATACCCTGACCCTGCAGATCATAATACATTTCAAACTGTTTACTGTATTCTCACAATTAAGTCCATGAACTTGCCACTGTACACTTACATTGTCAGTCATGTACAAAAACTCAGGAATGTTTCACAACCTTAGTGTATTTGTGTCTCAGAGTTGTGTTCATGCCAATGTGTGGTGGTGTCTTGCCGAGTGGGGTTCATTATTGTTGTCGCATGTTTTTGTGTGCTGTAGCAAGAATGTCAGGACTTGAATTAGAACAAAAAACCAAACACTGTATTTCTTGTTAACCTTGGCAAGAGTGGAGGTGAAATCAGAGACATGTAAGTCCAAGTTTATGGGGATAATGCCATGAAGAAAATGGCAGTTTGCAAATTAAACATTTTTCTGAGGAGAGAGAAAGAATCACTGATAAAGGCCAGTAATGAGAAGAAATGACAAAAACACTGAAAAAATTATTAAATTTTGCACCAAAGTCATTGGCTAACTGTGAGAAGCATAGCAGGCCAAGTAACCATTGGTAAACAGGAAAATCTTAACTGAAAATCTTGGCAAATAACTCGTGGCTCTTGCGACAGGATGATGCACCAGTTCACACGGCACTGTCTGTGAGGGAGTTGTTAGCCAGCAAACAGATAACTGTATTGGCACACCCTCCCCACTCACTTGATCTGGCCTCCAGTGACTTTTTCTTTACAGAGAAAGGAAATATTGAAAGGGAAGATATTTTGATGACATTCAGGACCTCAAGGGTAATGCGACAACAGTTTTGAGGCCTTTCCAGAAAAAGTGTTCCAAAATTGTTCTGAAGGGTGAACTAGGCTCTGATGTTGGTGTACAGCTTCCCAAGGGGAGTACTACAGAGGTGACCACAGTGTGATTCAGTGATGAGGTGTCCAGCACTTTCTCTAGGATGAGTTTCCGAGCTTACTTGCCAGACCTCCTAGACATCTGTTCCTTCCCTATGCCCACATCCCAAAAGCCCATAGGGTCCAAACACTATGGCAGCAACTAGGTCCTTCTAGTTTTTTTCTTGATCTTTTTTCTTTCTGATGCCCAGATCTGACTCCACAATGGGCAATCATCCACATTTCATAATCCTTGTTGCCACTCTTACTATATTCTCAATGTGTATTGAACTCTGGGTCTCCTCTAGGGCTTGGTTTCTACTCCCTATAGATATAATATTTGCTGAAATTGGCTCACTTGTAAAATGAATATTATGGATAGGATTGCAGAAAATAATGAGTGTAAAACCTTCAGTGCAGTTCCTGGCACATGGGCATTCAATTCATGGTAATTATTTTACCCTTATCTCTATGCCCTCATGCCTGTGTACTAAGACCTATTTCACCTAATTGCAACCATCTCCCTGCCCATCCCCACCACCTGTTTATGGAGAACACCAGGGCTGAGAACTAAAAGCCCCACCTTATGCATTTCCCCTTTATCATCCATATGGAGTAGGGTAAATGCTGGGCACCAAAGTTAGCCAGGATCTTTAGAGACTGTTAAAAAAAAATCATTGCTTGTTTCTGGCTTTGGCAACACATACACTAAAATTAGAATGATACAGAGAAGTTTAGCACGGCCCTGGCACAAGGGTGACACACAAAGTCATGAAGTGTTCCATATTTTTTGTGTCACCATGGGAAAAAAAAAAATCATTGTTTGGATTTCTGGATTTTAAGTACCGCCAGCATCCTCACTAAGTACCTTCCTGGAACCCCTGAAAATATCCTGATGAGAATTAGTTGTATGTAGAAAATCTCTCCACTGGCCAACCCTTTGAGCTAACTGCCCCAGTTAGACACCTTCACTGAATACCTTCTGTCGTCCCCAAGACCCGCTGCCAAGGGTTCTGTTGGAGATGCAGAAGATCTGGATTCTGGTCCCTAAACTGTCATATAATAGCTGGTGATTGGATAAATTTATTAACATCTCTCTACCTGAGTTTCCTCACCGATAAAATGAGAAGAATTGAATAGATTATCTCCATGTTCCTTTAAAACTAAAATTTTCTTTGATTCTACGATTCTTTGTTTAGGGTACATTTTAATCTAGATACTAGCAAAAAAGCAGATGGCACACTCAGAGTAGGTATTTGCAAAGAATTTGATAAAAGAACTATTTGCAAAGGTGTGGGTGGGATACAGGGAAACCACAGGGATAGTATAGAACCCCAGAGCTAGTAATAGCAGAAAACCTCAACAATCCTTTAAGTTTCCTGAGCCCAGAGAGACAGGCATGTGGAGAGGATCACATAAGGATAGCAGTGACCTTGGTGATGGAGGCAGCCAACCCAAGGTGACCTTGCAGGGAGGGACCCAAAGGAATATTCACTCCCACCCAACATTCCTGTTCCAATTTGTGCTCCTCATCATCAACCAACTAGAATTCAGAGGACTGACATAGTCCATGCAGGTCAGCCACAAACAGGTGGGGGGGATAAGATGGGAGCACCCAGAGACCAGCACACAGGGAGGCTCAGAACAGACAGGTAGAACCCAAGTTCAGAGAGCCTTCTTGTACACGATGAGTTACAGTGATGCAGACACAGACACTTTTATTGTCTAACACTTTTGCCTGTACCTTGACATTCTAAGTGTAAATCATTTGCAATCCCTTTAAAGAAATAACATTGTTACCACCAGCCATAGGTTAGTGAAATATGAAAATATTTTTATGTTACCACAGAGTCTTTTTGAAAAGTAACTTATGGCAACATAAAATGTTTAATGTCACCTAATAACTTATGCATCTTATTTTAAAAATACTTTTGATTAGATGATCTACAGAGTATCCTTTTGAGAGCAGTCTAAATTATTATTATCCAATTCTTATGTAGATTTATAATTAATCTAACAACTATGATCTGACCATGAATATGCCTTTGCCATCTGGTATCTTTACCCTGAATTTGATCATGAATAATACATAACCATCTGACAGTTGAATCTAATCCATAACGCACCCATACATGAGGCACTTCCATCCATAGTGCGCTAATTTGCATTCTCCATCATTTTGGTCTAATTCTTACTCGGAGCGTTCTCACTGAGTTTCAGCCACCAGGGGAACAATCCACCTACGGACTTGACCATATGGGATGCAGTACACAGTCTCCAGTGTCCTGGGTCTGATCCTAATTGTCACCAGCCGAGCCAAAATGTGTCACTCCAAACATGGGCAGGGTGCTCTTGGGCATTCATAAGATGCTTAATGGGGCTTTCAGCACGGTGCTGCTGACACTGTGTGTTCTAATTAGACTTCGAAGTGCACATTCATTTTTCCCACTAGCCCAGTCCTACATGCAGGTGAAAGAGACGGCCGCGTGACGGTAGGTGTCAGACAGTGGTTGGTGAGCACAATCACCATAAAAGAAATGAAGTGTAAGCTTTTAAATGATAAGCCAAATAAAAGGCTGCCACTGACCTTATCATCTTGTCCTTCCCTGTGGCTACACCTTCGCTTTGTCTCCCATGAGTCTCATCTGTGGCTTTTTCTTTAGCTAGGGTCTTCTGGACTGGTGCAGACTACTGAAATCTCTACTGTATGTGTCCTATCAAGATATATTTTAATTCCAATGCTTACAAAGCACAGTGCCGGCCAACATAACAAACAATTCTGGTCCCAATTTGGCTGGCAGGCCACCAGGTTATAAACTTGGTTTTATATGGTTGTTAAAATATTTCTCTCCACCAATCTGGACCCTGGGGCATTCTAACAAGTGAGGCCTAGAATATTTGCAATTCACTACTGTGATCTATTTCTTTTTACAATACATTCCATAATTCCTATAAAATCTCTATCATTATAGGTGGAAATAGAGAGGCCTGGAGAGTAATTTAGTGTTGGGATAAATCTGAGTTAAATTTTGTAGTTGTTGAATTTGAAGTGAGAGTGAGTCCGTGATCTTTACACTTGAAAACTGTACCACCTGAATTTAAAGGTAACCACAATCTGTATGTATAAATGTGATGACAAGAGTTCTAAACGGTTAGCCATTTATTCCGCATCATGTGCTCATCAAAGTTGGCTTCTGATTTAACTGTGATCGGGAATAGTGAATCCTGCAGTCCCACTTCCATTGAACTGTGTCACAGTTCTTATTTCATTCAAGCCAGGGTCACTGTCGAGGGTCCACTGCGTTTGATTTTGGGGTGCTGCCCTGTTTCTTTTGCATGGTTCTACCTACTCTGTACTTGCGACCACATCCTTCTGTCCATAGCCAACTAGAGAGCAGATGATCTAACTTGAGGTTGTAAAACAAGCAACCCACAAGTCAGCCAGCCAGTGGCCCACAGGGTGGACCGCCACTGGGGCTTTGCCCATCATAGAAAGAAGGCCAAGGCCAATCTGATCTGAGATACAATCTCAGGCTGTTTGACTGTGACATATAGAAATATGGCAGCTGGTGATGAAGGATGAAGCTGAGAAACTCAGTATGTGCAGAACCTATGGTCCATGCAGAAGAGTGGCAGGGGCAGTTGACCTGAGACAGAGTTTGATTCACCTATACAGGATAGTCAGTGGCAGGCGAATGGGTGCCGATCGCTTGGTGAGGGGTGGTTTGGCCATGGTGCTAAGCTCCCAATCCAGAATGACCTTGCAGCACTGAGTTCCCATTAAATCTCCAATTTGCCTATTTATGTTCTCTGTCTAAACCCTAATATTACTAGAGATTGTGATCCTATTTTAAAAATGCCTATTTAATCATAACATTTCTGAAAGATATTGAGAAAGTGAAAAAGTTTACAATCAGAATATAGTTGATGTCTGTGTCATCAAATTACATCTCATTAAGGACCTAGAGTGATGTATGCCTATGATCCTCACTTCTGTTTGCTTTTACCAGCTGGAATCTACTCTCTGTCCTCTACTTATCTAGTTAGTGCTGCTGCATGGGGGCATTATTAGACTTTGAGAAGGACAATTCTGCATCGAGTAACTTCTGGGCATTGCAGAGCATTTAGCATGCCTGGCCCAATGAATATCTAAAGTGACTCTCTCTATTCCCCATTGTGACATTCAAAAATAAATTCACACATTGCCAAATGCCTGCCAGGGAGTAGTACTAGTGCCAGCTTAAAACTACTGATCTAAGCCTTCCCATTTTTCCAAGGGCAGTGCAATTCTAAACTTCTCTTTCTGTACCTTCTGAATTCCAACCACACTCCGAGTCAATAATGCATCCTTGAGTTCTTAATTGTGTTCTAGTTTTCTCATGTATGGTGGGTTCCCTTCTCGGTTTGCTCATACCTTCTCTGAGACCATCAGAAGGGTCTCAGTAGTCTCTCATATCATACATAGGGCCTACCCGAGTGCTGAGCACACAGTGAATTCTAACCGGCTCCTCACCATCTCTTTGTTTACCTCTCTGGCAATATTTCCTTACATCTCCACCTTCGCCCCTGGCCCTTGTCCTCCAACAACTAGGAGCAGCTCTTCACTGCTCCCTGCACACACCCTGTTGGGTCATCATTATGTTTCCACATATGCTTACCCTTTTGCATACAGAATGCACTTCAATTGACTTTCTTTCAGATGAAATCCCATCCAATCTTCAAATTCCATCCTCTCTGGTAAATCACTCCCTTCTCTGTAGTTTGTATAAACTCCTACTGATGTATAACTTCTCTGTGTACCTGGTTTCCACTCTTAACGAGAGCATGAACTGTGTCTAAGTCATTTCCCTAACTCCTACATGATGACTAGCACTCAGTAGACGCTGAATAAATTCTGGTTGCCTACAGCTAAACACACCATATTTTTAGCATTCATAAGCCTGAGCCACACCATGGAGAATGGGGAAGAATGTTGATCACAAAATAGGAGAAGCCATTGCCTTTCCCTTCGCTGTCCCTTGCTGTGCACTAAATAGCTCTAAGAAATAGAATGCTTGCTTCTCACTACTGTTGAGAGCTTGATTTCGGTTTACGTATATTCCAGAGTTTCATTAAAGCACCTGAAACAGGCAACTTGGTTATGCTTTGTTTAATTTCTCTCGTTTGGTTTGCTCCCTTTTACAGTGGTGCCAATGAAACACCGAAGATACTACATCAGCTGTTATCAGCAGGAAATTAACTCAAGCTGAACACTCAACTGAGAGGCAAAAGAAAAGAAAACAGTGTGCGTTTTATTAGAATAGATTGTTTCATTTCCATTCAGCACTCGACTTGGAGAGGCTTCCTCTATGCCTTCGCTAGAGTAGGGAACAATGGCATCCATGTGATTATAAAGACTATGATACAAAATAATAAAGAAAACAAGCCTCTGGGAAGCCCTATCCACCAATACACTATCAAGGAGAGAAGCACCTGTAGGTACTCCTGAATTAATAGGAGTGTGGGGTCAGAGCTCCCTCTAACAACGCAGGCCTGGTCAGCAGAGACTAGAGGTCAGCTGAGTTCTCTATTCAGCTCCACTGGTGACTGATGGAGAAGGCAAAGGTAACATCTCAGTGCCATACTAATTGCAGATGGGCCAAAGACTTGGGTCCCACTAAATGTTGCTAGGGGTTTCACCAGGATGTAAAAAACCTGTTGCCTCAAGGTCACTCTGTGAGTCTTCTTTATATCACCAGGAACCACCCTCTCAACACCCACAGACCCTAAAAGACCCAGAAGTCACAGCCTC